ACTCATTTTCTCCCCCTCTCTCTCTCACTCACCCTCGCTCCCCCCCTCTCTCTCTTTCTCTCCCCCTTTCTCTCTTTCACTCATTTTCTCCCCCTCTCTCTCTCACTCACCCTCGCTCCCCCCCTCTCTCTCTTTCTCTCCCCCTTTCTCTCTTTCACTCATTTTCTCCCCCTCTCTCTCTCACTCACCCTCGCTCCCCCCCTCTCTCTCTTTCTCTCCCCCTTTCTCTCTTTCACTCATTTTCTCCCCCTCTCTCTCTCACTCATTCTCTCCCTCTCTCTCTCTCTCTCTCTCTCCCCCTCTCTTTCTCCCGCTCACTCTCTCCCCGCTCTCTTTCTCTCGCACGCCAAAATTCGAAACTCGCGCTCGCACGGGTCACATGGTCCGCAACGCTTCGCGGTTGACTTGTCGCCTTACCGGGTCAGTACGTGAATTGGGGCCTATATAATATATAGGCGACGCGCGCGTCACACAGATAACGCGACAGCGTAAACGCATCACCAACCCGGACCGTACTACCGCTCGTTTAATAGCAGAAAAGTGTAAGTAACGTGTGTAGGAAAGTCGTCTGTGCGTCTGTCGGTGTCTACGTAGTGTGTCGATTAGCATCGTTGAGTGACAACTGTTAGTTTCTTAATCGTGTCTGTGCTTGGACCTCTCAGCAACGTTCTTGTGTTGGACTGCAGGTGACGCAAGGGGGCCAGAGGGCAGGCGTTGCCACCTACTCACGTATGCACGCAACTTAATCATTATTTGCAGAAACACATGACGTGTTAACTTAACACGTTAACGTATTATGTTTAACATGTTAATTATGATAATTATTTAACGTGTTAATTATGCTAACATGTTAACGAAGAACGTGTTATGTGCGGAATGGCGATGCATGGTTATATATGTGACTCATTGACACATATATATGCGATACTAACCTTAGATCGTCGCAGTCGGGCGAGCGTAGCGGGCTAACCTATAGCAATTATAATCGTAAATTCGCGTTACCTATATCTAATATAACCGCGCGCGTGTATTCTTTACTCAACCCTACACACCCCGCTTTATCACTTTCTTTGTATCGGCTCTTTGTGGATTTCTATAGCAAACCATTTCTCCGTCAGTTATCGACAAAATTTCGTCGGTATCACCTCGGTATTGTTGGGGTCGTTCTGTGCACAGGCACTTGGGACAGAGTCAGTAAAAACTGAAAATAATATGAACGCACATTCACAAATAGGCCCTACTACCGTACCTCTCAATTACAGTTCCACTGTTGTGTCACTGTATATCAACTTTTTTATTATTTATTTTGTGTATATAATATATATTATTATCATTATAATGGCGACACAGCACACTCGCAGCGGCGAGTGCGGGAGCGTTCGGCGTTAGTTTTCACGAAGGAAAGTTAATATACAATGACACAACAGTGGAACTGTAATTGAGAGGTATACGGTAGTATTTGTGAATGTGCGTTCATATTATTTTCAGTTTTTACTGACTCTGTCCCAAGTGCCTGTGGTTCTGTGCGGTATAACGCGAACATGTACAGCGTGAACCAAACTCTAGACCTCTCTGCCTGAGAGCTTTAGCTGCAGTCAGAGGGCGAGGGCATTCCTCGCACAGCCCAAGTCGGTCCTCCACCTTTTGTGATCGAGCGCCGTATCAAAGCAGACGAATCTCGGGGATTATAAATCCATTGCCAAGGGGACCTTCTTCCGCGTACGGTAACCTACATACGAGCGATCGCGACCGGCAGATCGCCCGTGTTTCTTTACAACGTTGTCACGCATCGCTTACCCTGAGCGTCGGAACTGTTATCGTCGCCTATTGCCATTCCCATGCTAGCGTTTTTGCCTCGTGGTAACGGCGGGTACAATGCAGCTCGGCATCTGCCCGGGGTAGTGCAAGGCCTGATTTGGCGGTTGAGAAGACAATGGGTTAATGATGAGTGATGGAAATCAGTCTGCTGCCCCCTCCTCCTCCTCATCCCCGTGCTTTGATTGACAGCCGAACACGAGCCCCCCCTCTTCCTTTATTTTTGCCTCTATTTGCGGGCCCTCTCTAGTCGTGCTGGCTTGCGTATAACTATATTGTCGTTGGCGAATTCCAGACCGCGTCGAAGTCTTGGATTGCCGCAGTGCAAGTTCTACCCCCATATTTTCTTGTGTGTGTGTGTGTGTGTGTGTGTGTGTGTGTGTGTGTGTGTGTGTGTGAGTGTTTTGTGTGTGTGGTGTGTGTGGCGCATTGTGACCCGTTGATGAAATCGAATACCCTCCGTTAACGTGTCCTTCAATTGTCTTACTCAACAAATGGATGCAATTTGGTTAGAAAGAAGAAAAAAAGAAAGAAAAAGAGAGAAAGAGAGAGAAAGAAAGCGAAGAGAGAGAGAGAGAGAGACGAAGAGAGAAGTGCGCCGAGGAGAAGAGATGACGAGCGCGTCAGAGTAAAGAAAGATGTCAGAGCAGTGGTAGTGATAGACACGTATCTTGCTCAGCGCGCGCATGACCCACATCAAGCCGCAAATTTAGATGAATTATACGCGTATGCATATAAGATGCGTCTCGTGCGCCATCAACGCTTGTTCCACATTCGTTGATTTATTGCCAACGTCCTTAACTTCGTCCCACGCCGGTTAAGTATGCATATAGCATGACTAATAGTTTATATAGTTTATACAGCATGTGTGTGCGGTCACTGTTGTTGTTGTTGTTGTTGTTGTTGTTGTTGTTGTTGTTGTTGTTGTTGTTGTTGTTGTTGTTGTTGTTGTTGTTGTTGTTGTTGTTGTTGTTAGCGGTTGCAAACAAAAGGGGGTCAGACAACGTGTGATGTAATCATACAATAGATCTGTGTAATTTTAGATACACATGGTTAATTATACGTGCCAACAGGTTATTTTATCAAAGGTATAGGCCCGTGTAATTGCTTCCTGAACTCGCTGGCTGTAGAGGATATAAAATTCTTATAACAAATTCGATGTTTGTTTGAGACTACGAACTCCACCATAGGTAAATGGTGTTCCTTTTCAATTCTCGTTTAATTTAATTTAATTTGTTTAATTTTATGTTAGAACCTCATATATCCCTCAAAATAGTGCTCTCTGTTATGTCTCAATAAACCTGTTTTGTAAGAGGCTACATTAATATTGATAATATTATATATTATATTAACATTTATATGAAAAAGAACTGTGTAGGGCCTATATATCGAATAGGACTAAAGCTCGCGTTCTGGTGCTAAATACGCCCATAAACACGAACGTAACTCGAATGGAAAATTAACCCAGTTCGTCTGTGATATAACCATGTGGGCGATAAATAACCCAGAATACGTGCGTGAAATTTCCGCCGACCAGATTTGGTATATGTATGTCGAATGGGAATGCTCGAGGTAGGTCTACATCGCTCGGTCGAAACACAAGGAGTTAGGCTACTGTGTATAGAACATTTTAACACCCGAGAAAAAAGGTCACATGCCAATATATATATATAGCAACATTGCGTCGGACAAATCATGATGGTGTATCTATGTGTCATTTGTTAATTAACATTTGGATTTCAGGGTGTGCGATTATTGGTCACTTGTAAGAGTATTCGGAGTTGCCCGGGAAAATCCGGGAAAACGGAGGTTTGCTTACTTGCTAAGTTGGTTTCTCGGTAGGTTGCACGGTCTCTTTCTCTCGTTCTCTCGTTCTCCCTCTCTCTCTCCCCCTCTCTCTTTGTTTGTTTGTTTGTTTGTTTGTTTGTTTGTTTGGTTGTGTGTGTTTGTGTGTGTTTGTGTGTGTGTGTGTGTGTGTGTCTTCCTCTCTCTCTCTCTCTCTCTCTCTCTCCTCACTTTTTCTCGCTCCCTATTTCTTACACGCCCACTTTCTCTCTCTCCCTCACCCCCCTCTCTCCCTGTGCGTGTGTTTGTCACTCGCCTTGTGTAGGTATTGGTTTGCTGAGCACATCGTATGTTCCGCATGCTTCAGTTAGGCAATGTGAATTACGTGTGCATACATGTATAGCTACGGGTGTCCTTGTGCCTATGGAAGCGTACGAGATAATACACATTTTACTCAGTATTATAAATAGTACACATGCTAGTCTCTAGCTTGTGGAATGTTTAAATGTAATGTAAGTGTCCACTTACTTATTTTTGAAAATAAGGAACTAGGAACTAGGAACAAGGAAATAACTTCACGCGCATATAATAACAGCCCTGTGATGAATCAGCAGGAATTCAATAATAATTATTACGCTCAGACCGGTGGCGGCAGCCGGCGGTGTTGGGGTTTCAACGTACCACGATGTGGGAGATTATGTTATTCATGTTTAATATGAGATTCGGCGTGTCTACGGTATGGGAAGACCTAAAATGTTTAACGGACATTTGTTGGAATGCTCTGAATGACGAAATAGGAAAGATTTCATGCTTCTGCTCACGTGCGTTTGAGCGCGAAACGGCCGAGGAAAGATGAACAGAGAAACAATATTTAGACTAGCGCAGAGCTCCTTGTGCTGCACTGACTAGCGCAGGCGCGAGAGCGCTAAGTTAAGGGCACAGAGGCAGTCTAGAGTTTATTTCACCTTTATAGATATACAGTTTTACTACACGTTATATGAAACTATTCTACTACTTACATAAGAACTGACAATGTTGATGTGTTGTGATGATGTGTATGATGATGTTTGTGATGATGTTTCAGGTCGCAATGAAGAGTATGCATGTCTTCCGGTCAGTTCTGTGTCTGACGTTGGTACGTATGAAAGCACGTAAAACGAACAGCACGAAAATATCGATAAAAGAACCCAAATTTCAACCCGTTGTTCGTGTTCGATCTATCCAAATTTTTGGTGAAATTTTCGATCGAACCTTTAGCTCGCATCACGACTTCTTTTCATCGCTATAATGATGAAACCCGAATCATATATAGTATATTATGAATATGATCGAATATTATTATTATTATTATCGATATGTATTAATAGCATGTACGCTGGGTAGATGGCGCTGACACCGTATCTTGATTTGCAGTTCAGTCAGGTATTTGGGTCATATTATGGCTCCGTGCCCGGCTACGGACTAGGTGGTTACGACTACGCGCACGTCTACCAACCAAGAGGATACGTCAAATCATTCAACACCGGTATGCCTGTATTATAATTATGTATTAATTCGTGGATTTAATATAAGCTAGAAGAGCTTAAATTATAGCATCAATATGTAGAATGTAGAATAATAGAATATATATGGTATAGGAGGCACGAGCGTGGAAAACAATAAAGTGTGAGATTTAATCAAAAAAGATTTCCACTTTCAAGGATTGATTCCTTCTTCCTTATTTCCTTTTTAGCTTCTTTCTCTTTTCAGATTTACGTCGAAATCGTTTCCCGATCAACAACAGGCCAATTTCAGACCAATTTCCTCCCCAAATCTAAAAAATATATGCGTTATTATCCGTGTAATTCGATTCGTGACAAAAAACAAGTCAATATCCCCCCCACCCCCCAATCTCACAAATTCACCTCTCAAAGTCTTACAATTACTATCCGTCTATTATTTTTTCCAGGATTTATCGAAGAGTTCGGCAACGATAACCGATATTACAATCGCGACCGCGGCCACGAAGCCAAAGCTTACGCCGTCAATCAAAACACCGGATACGGAGCCGGAAGTGGAAAGGATTACACCAAGAAAGGCCACGCCCATCGCGATCTCGCGTACAACCAGAATGCAGGCAACTATGCTCTAACCGACAAGACGTACGGACAGAAGGGACGGGGCACGGGTGTCAACTATTCGGCGTTGGGCGGAGGTTACCAACCCGGGTATGCTGCTCGACCGGTGGCGTATGCAGCGCCGGCTGGTGGCTACGCACCGCAACACGCGGGCAACTACGCTGAACAGGCGTACGCACCGCAGGCAAGAGCGGGGTATGCCACCCAGGCGTACGCACCGCAGGCAAGAGCGGGGTATGCCACCCAGGCGTACGCACCGCAGGCAAGAGCGGGATATGCTTCCCAAGGATACGCACCGCAAGCAAGAGCGGGATATGCTACCCAAGCATACGCACCGCAAGCAAGAGCAGGGTACGCCCCACAGGCGTACGCACCACCGACTAGAGCAGGGTACGCCGCACAAGGATACGCACCTCAGGCCAGAACAGGTTACGCCAGCCAAGCGTACGCACCACAAGCAAGAGGCGGCTATGCTACCCAAGGATACGCGCCACAAACCTACGCGTAAGCGAGTCCACGACGGGCGCTACGTGTATGTTTAATGCTAAATACCAAATACCTGGATAGCCAAGCTGCGAATGTATAGCCAGGGACTGTTAATACGTGCTAGCGGGATGATAGGGCGTGTTCCTCGGAGATTGTAGGACATTTAGAGACTAGACTGAACAAGACTTGTTGTTATGTTATGTGGGGGGACCATTGTAATTTTTGTACACGTCACACATCACAACTGTCAACGTACAAGTGTAAATTGACCATAGCACGTTTCTATGAGAATATTTTTGTAAGACTAAATTGATATTTTTACGCAAAAGGGTAATTAGAAATAGCAGTAAACACATCCTCAAACCCTCAGGCGATAGGATCTTTATTAATTGTGGGTAATTTGAATTATTTTGCACTCCAAAATTGCTAGCTATACGAACTATCGCGCGCAAGGCACAACTGATTGTGTACAACGAAATTATACGGTCGAAATTGGAAGTTTATATTACGCAGCAATTTAACAATGTGGTCCAAAACAACATTTTCGTACTATACACGGTGTCATGGCCATTTTAAACGCGCTTAGTTGTATATAGTGCTGCCGAAATGATTGTTAGTGTATCGTGATTGTTATTTTCGCCTGCTCTGCTAGTTTTTGTAACACAGACGCGATCCTTATCTGCGAAAGTGTCGCTCGTATAGAATTTTAATGATGGCGACTATGTTATAAGAAGTGTTAGCTTCGTTATAAGAACGTTATAAGAACACTAAATAGTCATCACGTGTCTATTAGGATACAAAGCACGCAGCGAAAAGTTGTTAATAAGTAGTTTTAGTTTTAGTTTTCGTTTATAGTTATTTGTTGTTGATTTTCTATAGATAACGTCTCTTTATTATTTATTCGTAATTTATTCGATTATCAATCGATTATTCAATTCAATTCGATTATCTTCGATGATCGCCATTTATTCGATTATCATCGTCTCTTTCTCATATAACAAACTGCTAACAAAATGAGACGGGTGGATATATTAAATACTTTGTTGGTATATTGTAAATGTTTACGCCTTTTGTTAAAAATAAGACACTCA